GCGGGCGGACCAGGACGGGTACCCAAGCCGGCTCCGCGCTGCCCGGCTGGGGCTGGAGCGGGGCTCGGAGCCCGGAGAGCAGGGCCGGAACAAAGCCGGCGCCGTGCCGCCCTGCCTGCGCTTCAACCTGCGCGGAGCAGCCGGACTTTAAAGGCAGAGAAAAGAAATCCCTGCCCTGTGCTACTGCCCTAGGGTTCAAGCCGGGCTTTGCAACCGAGAGATGAGGGCAGAGAGCGGGACAGCGGCTCCGGCTCCGCACCTGTAGCTTGGGCAGGCGGGAGATAAAGACAGAGAGAGAAGGAGGCGTAACTCGGCCGGGCCAGGCTCGCGCTGCTCGGGGAGGACACGCGATTCCCGGGACATTGATCCCGGCCCGGGGAGCGCGGCAGGGCCTGGATCGGAGGCCCGTGTTCCCATTGGCCACTATGAGGCGTGAGGCGATTGGGTGCGGTGGCCGCTTGGGCGGGGTCACGGCCACTCCTCCCTTCTTTGCTCTGATTGGCCTGTGCCGGGGAGGCGGGACCCTCCTTGTTCGGCCTCCTTGTTCACAGTCTGATTGGCTGATGTGAATGGTGAGTGTAGGCAGGCTTCTGTGTGCTGATTGGTCCGACTCCGATCCTCGGCGGCCTCGCTCAGCTGGTTGTCCGCCAGGTGAGCGCGGAGCCCACGTCGCGCTGCCGGCTCGAGCCGCGGGCGGACCCGGAGCGCTGTGGCAGCTGCTGTGGTGACCACGGCGGGTCGTGCGGGAGACTGCGTCCCCCCTCTTAGCGGGGCCTGTGGGTGTTGAAGCTGTCTGTCCGTCCCAGTGCCCCTTTCCTCTCCCCCTCCCGCCTGGGGAGCCTCCCTGTCTCCTCGAAGTTATGGGAAGTCGTTTACGGGGGTCCCAAGAAGGAACGTTTGAATCCGGGTTGACGCTGAAACCTCTCTAGGCAGCACCTTGCAAAGCACCAGATTTACCATTTTTAACGAAAATTAAAAAAATGAAAACCTGTTGTTCACCTGCACCGCAGGGCATCAGTTCAGTTCTAGGGGAGAGTTTGGGATCTTTGGTGTCAAATAGTATAATATGGAGAATAGGGAGTTGAAGTGACGGTGTTATTCATTGTGTACTTATTTTGAAAAACTTAAATTGCACAGAGATGTATCCAGTAGGATGTGTGTGTAAACCGACATGCAGATAGTGTGTGTGTAAAACACCGTAACTGGCACAGCGATCCTGTGTATAGTAGGTGTCACTGGGTCACCCTTTCTATGAAGACAAACCCGGCTCAGTGCTGCCCTCCTGTGGTGCGCTCCCAGCACTGCAGCCACCAGGAGCCGCGCCGCGGAGGAGACGAACCCGCTGCTGGGTGCTGCCCTCCTGTGGTCGCGTCGTGGCATTGCCGCAGCTCATGACGGCAGAAAAAGAGCCGTGCTCAGAGCCGCCCTCCTGTGGCCGCGCCAGGCATTGCGGCGGAGAGAACAGGGCGGGCACCCAAGTCGGCTCCGCGCTGCCGCCTGGGGCTCGGAGCCCGGAGAGCAGGGCCGGAAGAAAGCCGGCGCCGTGCCGCCCTGCCTGCGCTTCAACCTGCGCGGAGCAGCCGGACTTTAAAGGCAGAGAAAAGAAACCCCTGCCCTGTGCTACTGCCCTAGGGTTCAAGCCGGGCTTTGCAGCCGAGAGATGAGGGCAGAGAGCGGGACAGCGGCTCTGGCCCCGCACCTGCAACTCGGGCAGGCGGGAGATAAAGGCAGGGAGAGAAGAACAAAGGCCTCGCTCGCTCGGGGTCACTCGGGCAGTGCCCGCGGCCGGGGCAGGCGGGGTCGGGCTGCCCGGGGCGGACACATGATGCGCGGACATTGATCCCGGCCCGGGGAGAGCGCCAGGGCCGGGATTGGAGGCCCGTGTTCCCATTGGCCACAATTTGCCCAACATCAGCCGTGGGGCTATGGGGGGCAGTGGCCGCTTGGGCGGGGTCACGGCCACTCCTCCCTTCTTTGCTCTGATTGGCCTGTGCCGGGGAGGCGGGACCAGGAGTCCGGCCTCCTCCGTTACATTCTGATTGGCTGATGTGAATGGTGAGTGTAGCAGGCTTCTGGCACTCCTCTGGTTTCTTTTCTGCTGCACCCTTTGGCCACGGCCTCTACACGTCCTGTGTTGGCTGTGGTGGTGGGCTTCAGTGCACAGGGGGCTGCCCTCTCCTCTGCTCTCCTCTCCCCCCTGCCTGGGCAGGGCCCCTCTTTCCCGACGCTCCCTGGAACGAGGCGGCTCTTGCTGCTAAAACCTGCAGCAACAACCAGCGCAGCCCATGTGCACCCCGGGCCCTGAGCCCGGCTGGGGGCTACAGGAGGGGCTCCCAGGGCAGGCAGCCTCCCCGCGCTCACCCGCTCCGCTGTGTCCCAGCGTAGACAGTGATGTACCGGGGCACCGACACCCCTCTGCACATTCACTGCCCCCGAAACAGCTGCCGGGTGCAAGGGCCCCGCGCTACAGTCCAGCCCAGCCCAGCCCAGCCCAGGACCTCCCTGTCCCATAGCGGTATGGGTGTCCCATGGGACTGATGAAAGACCAATGCAAAGTACCCATTTCAAAGGTTGGCTTTTTCCTGGGCGTCAGTTGTCAGCTGTCCCATATGGTTCAACAGGGGTCCAATGTTGTCCTTGCTTTTCCTCCGGCTCCCCACATATCTGAAAAAGGACTTTTATTGTCCTTGATGCTTGAAGGTAGTTGGAGTTGAGTTGCAGCCTTGGCTTTCCTGGTTTGCTCCCTGCAGGACCGGACCAGGGCAGAATATTCGCCCTTGGCTGGCCGGGGTGTCAGCGTTGCCGCAAGGATTTCTTTTACCAGAGGCCCCCAAGGATTGACACGGCCCCTCATCTGATTTGGTATCAAGTGAACTTTGAATAGGTACAGAAAACAGAATAG